TCTTAAACCAGTGATTTCTTAAGCAGTGCTGCTGCTGTACCCATATACTAGGGACCAGGGATGGTTCTTGAGGGAGGGACACTTCGCGAGGAATTGAAAGGTTTCTCAGGTTTGTATGAGGCTTAAGGGGTTTCTTGCGGGGAACCCTAAACCCTAAACCCTAAATTTTACTTCGCTATGACAGGGTCCGGCGAGGGACTCCGGTTTTGGACTACACACAGCTGGGATCGCTTGACCCAGGATTCTGAGCTCGTCATTCAACGAAGGGCTCGTCTTTCTTTCACAGCCTGTTCGAATACGGCCCTGCCGGTAAAAAAGGCTGCAAAAATATAGCACGCGCAGATGGACTAAAATTGTATGTGCTTTTATTTGAGTTTCTTTGGCTTGCATGCATGCATGCATCCACGTATGCAGCGAATGTTAAGTGAAGTGATGACTGCAGGATGCATGCTCGCCTGCATGCCTGCTTGCTCGATGAATGTATGTGTGCATGCTTGCCTTTATGATAAAACCCTAAACCCTAAACCCTAAACCCTAAACCCTAAACCCTAACAAACCCTAAACCCTTTATGATAAGAGAGCCGGCTCACAAGCATAGCCTCTTGGGTAGATGCTTTAGGGCCTAGTGCAGCAACCTGCTTAAGCAACCCTGGTCCTATAACCCCAAACTATTAGGTTCCTATAAACGAGCCTTTAAAAAAAGAACCTGAGTTTTTTTTTAGAAAATCAGGTTCCACTATTAGGTTCCTATAAACGAACCTAAAGAATAACCCGATTCTTGTCTGAGTTTTCTTAGAAAATGAGGTTCCTACAGTAGACGCGTTGCAGAGTCTCATCGACTGACAGCTTTCCGGGGATGCCTGAAGAGTCCGGCACTGGAACCTCGGAGGGCCCCTAAGTTGCACGGTTTCGGGTTTAGGGTTTAGGGTTTAGGGTTTAGGGTTTAGGGTTTAGGGTTTAGGGTTTAGGGTTTAGGGTTTAGGGTTTAGGGTTTAGCAGTGTTTCTACAGTAGGAATGTCTATGATGGTTAATGTATGTATCCACCATATATAGGTACTACTTACAAGCCTGAGCCCTAAACCCTAAACCCTAAGCGAACATCGTCTAGATAACTGCAGGCAGTCCGGCCAACCATGAGCCTACAATTGAAGCTTCCAAACTACTCTAAACCCTAACCCTAAACTCAGGTCTAAACCCTATACCCTAAACAGTTAGCCCAAGACTCTAAACTCTAAACTAACAAAAACGTAAGCTGCGCCAGCCCTTTCAGCCCCAAGAGCTCAAGAATCAATGGCTTGACTTCTCCGAGCGCCCGCGTGCAGGCAACCTTGCGCCACGTTGCTGTGAAGGCCTTGTCTGCAGGCTACCAGGAAGCGGCTGGGTTGAAACAAGGCACACATGACATGCAGTGTATGGTAGGGGCCCTTAGTGTCTCAGAGCCAGTCGAAAATTCGAAAATGGGATGCTCACGAGAAGTAGACCAGTGTTTTCTGTTAGATCATGCTAGACAGTCAGCATGGCTTTGGATGTATTGCGCTTCGAGACGGTGACGAGCGGTTGGTCTACACCCGCTTCCTCCTCCCCCCTCCCGGAGCCTCCTCCTTTTTTCTACAACAACAACAACTACTACTAGTTACTACTACTACTACTACTACTACTGCTACTACTGCTGCTAGTACTACTACCAGTCCAGTACTGCCAGTACCACTGACAAGTATTAGTCGTACTTCTAGTGCTGCTACTGTAGTACGACTACGAGAACCACTACGGCTACGGCGACGACGACTACTACTGTCTGACCGCCATTACTACAGCGATTCTTACTTTTGCTGTTGTGAGCTGTAGCAGTTGCACTGAACATCCAAGGTGCTAGTGCCCTTTCAGTCAACGCCACGGAATGCACCACGGCCTGTTGAGAAGTTGCAGATGTCGATAGTTTCTGCATGCCATGTAGAAATCAACTTTCTTTGGCAGGGCTGGATTTAACATTGCTTTCCGCAATCACTACACATCATCCCTATGATGCTTTGCGGTCTTTTGTTCGGGGGTCGGGATAACTGGTAACAGTATCCCCTTGTGTATAGTCCCAATCTAACTATAGTTCAAGAGACCCCGAAACCCTAGTCTGGTCATATGGTCTATACGGGGTGTAGGGTTGAGGGTATAGGGTTCAGAGTTCCACACGTCCTTCCTGATATTACTGGCATTATGATTCGTGCGCTGCATAACTATGCACTGGTTTCTTTTTTGGCATAAACTTTTCACAGAGCAGATGTTGATTCGCGATAATGTGATTCCCTTTGCTGCAGAATCTGCTTCCTGTGATTTTGCTTCGTATCATACAATGACGTGGATGTCAAGCGTAGTAACCTGTATCCAACCTTGTTGGTGACTTAGACGAACCCCGGCATAAACCCAAGCGTAACCATTGAATACTCGTGGTCACTGGACAAATCAGAAAGCAATGCATATACAGGCAAAGCCATAAATCAAGCATAAACATTTAGATGTAAAGATGGATAACAGATGGGTAGGTAGACAGACAGAAATTCATGTATAGTCACAAATAGATAGGTAGATAGGTAGTTGGACAGACAGACAGGTGGTGAGGCAGACAGGTAGGTAGATGGATGGATAGTTGCCAAGGTAGGTGAATACATGGATAGATAGGCAGGTAGATAGATAGATCGATAGATAGATAGGTAAACAGACAGACAGAGAGTCAGATAGATAGAAAGACGGACAGCTAGAGCTAGATTGATCGGAGTCCGTGTGTGTATATATGCCTATATATATATATGTATTATATATATATATATGTAGATATTATATTGTATATTATACATAGTATAATATATATATATATATATATGTATATATATTTATTTATAGGTATATCTTAATAAGTCTTGTGTTTCGTGTTTGGCAAGTTTTTTTTTGTAGGAACGTGTGAAAATGCGACGGCAGGCATCAGGTCGAGCTCTAGGCACAAAGTGCCAACCAGAACCAACAACTTTCTAAACCCTAACGTTTCGCGAGGGTGTTGGGTTTCGGGTTTAGGGTTGCGGGGTTACGGTGTAGGAACCCTACACCCTAAACCCTAGACCCTAATGGGTGTGGGGTTTCGGAACCCTAAACCCTCCACCCTAAACC